TAACAGTAGCAGTGTAAATGTGACGGCACAGGCTTTGGCATGCGCTAACAACCAGAGCACATATCCAGGATTCCCAGTGGGTTTGTAGGCTGGTTGCTAACCTGTGACATCACATCTACACCTCTGTTTCCAGCACTAGCTAGATTAAAGGTACCATGAGTATGCCTACCTGTGCTACAATCACACCTTCACTTACAGTGTAGACATCCAAGAGAGAGGACAGCAAATTGCACCTCACTATGTATTGCAAAATAGCTCATGCAAAAAGCCAATGAAATTTTAGACTGCATAGGGAAAAGTCTTACTTCATGAAGTAAATTCCTCTCCAAAGGAAGGCATTCTGGCCTTGCACCAAAGATGTTGCTGATATATGTAAAAGAATATATGCAGCATAAGAAAACTGTAGTGTATATACAGTAGTACAATATACTGAGCAAGGTTTTGTGTTTTCAAATGGATACCTAAAATTAGGCTCCTGAATCCATATTATAGCTATGTAAATAAATGGCCTGATTTTCAAAATTGTTGAGTATCTGATAGCTCAGTGCTTTGAGCATTGGCCTGCTAAACCTAGGGTTGGGAGTTCAATCCTTGATTGGGGCCACTTAGAGATCTGGGGTAAAATCAGTACTTGGTCCTGCTAGCAAAGGCAAGCGGCTGGACTTGATGACCTTTCAGGGTCCCTTCCAGCTCTAAGAGATAGGTATATCTCCATATACTTTATTTCCCTTGACTCAGGTGGGAACTGCTGAATGCAAAGTGCAGTGCGTGTTTCCCTGGGATACTTATAGTTCCAGATATCAAGAAAGCTCAGTATGCAAGGCCACAGCTCCTTTCAATCTCAAAAACTCCAAGTTAATCAGTAACATTTACCTTCATGCCCGAGGGAGTGTCATTCACCATTAAATTACACCATATATCACTACCACAATTATTTCGCTCAAAGACAGCTTGTGTTTCAGTCTCTCTGAATAGAGAGTTTCACAAACATGGATAAGAGCAGGAAGACAGTATTTGAATATCTGGATAAGATATTGGCTGGTAGTGAAAAGGCAGCCCCTGAAAACCTGCTATTTTCCTATAAGGGAATTTTGTACCCTGCTACTTTATGCAGCCCTGAAACTTTCCAAGTTCTTGATTCTTTTGAAGCCAGGAATGACGATGTGATCCTAGTGGCATACCCAAAAAATGGTAACTATTACTAGCTTGTTACAAAAACGAAATGTGAAATGTTATACAGTAGTTATGAATGATTAGGCAGTATTTAATGCAATGATTATACATGACTGACACTGTATTAGGAATTGTTCAGATGAATAAGGTGAGAAGAATAATTTTGTCCATTAATGACCATCAATTACTTTCTTCTCCCTTTGACTATTTACATTTTAAGTAACTGTATGTCCAGTGTTTA